ATCCATGCCTAGAATATTAAGTCATTAATTAGTTTTCATGCATGGGCTTGTATGTGGCAAAGAGGCAAATTAAGGATACCTGAAGAGACAAGAAAGCTTTCTTAGCAAGGAAAATACTCCAAGGAGTTGCCAAGAAAACACATTACAAAGCCAGCTGAGAATCCAAATTTTCAACCCTGGATGGTCATGCAAAATTCTATAAAAACCCAACAACATGGCCACCGCCTGCGTGCTCACAGCAATCAACTTAATTTGAAAGGGACAGAGGAAAAGCTTTATGGATGTATACAAAAACATGCTCTGATGAATAATCACGGGGGTTGCTTTCAAACTCACCCGTGAGGAAGACCCTCCTGTTCCCATGGCTTATTTGCATACAAGCCAGCAAACAGAAATTTGTATTTTCATGCAGAAAGAAGAAAAGAGATCACCTACAAACTGAAGTCAACTTACTGCCTGCTTTTGCTCTTCTTCCTATAACGGTTGGCAAAAGATAAAGGTGAGGAGAGAAACAGGATAGATTAATTACCATGTTACAAGGGAACACCATACACATAATATACAACAGATCCAATGAGGGAAGAGAACGTGGCAAACTGTAGGAACATCTGTAGTCACAAACAGAAACAATGAAGTTGGGTTAACAGCTACGTCAGAATGCAAAGGTGTAATTTGTCCCATTTTAAAAGATGACTCTTGTCTAAAATGGCCATTGGTGTTTGGGAACATTGAAAACATGGAATGCATACCACTGTGGTCTTTGAAGCAGAACCTCTACTGGACTCTCTTCCTGTCCTAGACTCAGAAACGACTCTCCAGATGCCTTCAAGACAACCTTGTTTTCAGACTGAAAAGTTTGCCAATGCCACCTGAGGCGTGCAATCAATGCACTGCTTTTGGTTCCCTGCCATCACAAAGACTGAAAATGTCATAACCTGAGAGGCAAAGTATCACCTTTTTGATCATGGAGTGAGCACTGGGCCTATAGTAAGCTCTGCAAATTGGGTTTCAAAATTTATGCGAGGTGGGCTCTTTGGGTTTTTGAACTAAATCATACCTACAATGGGAGAAGAGAAACTGGGAGACATGAGAACCAAAGATATGGAGTAGATACAAAGATGGAGAGAATGATATTGCTGTTGCAATTCAACTTTGATCAGTACAGAGCATGCTAACTTGAAAGACCAAAAATGGTGAAATATGGACGAATTTATGTTCTTTTGAATCAGAGCAATGCATGCTATGATCCTTTGAGACAGTGGGATCACACTCCAACGTCAACTATACAAGCATTTCTCGTGTCACTGTGCAAAATCATAGCAATCATTGAAATATCACATAGTCAAGAGTTACTTTCTAAGTCAAATGCTTTCACAGATTTTGTCCTTGCCTATATATAACAACGGGCTTCACAACAGTGGGTACACCATGTTTGCTACATGAGTTTGCTTCCACGGAGCAAGGCAGCAGCTGTGGTGGGACAGCAGCAGCATGCATTAGAAGGAAAGGTTGGCAGTGTTTTTTTTTTTTTGTGAATTAGCATTTCCAGCTTTTTTTGAGGATAACAGCATGCATTCTCCCCAGTGGTGGCTTTGCACAAAGTGCAGAGAGCAGCAGGACTGCTCCCCAGTGCATCTCCCCAGAAAGCAGTTCATTTCAGGAACTGAAGTTCATGGAATTAAAATGAATGGAATAGAAGTTGCTTCTGACCTTGAAAGCTGGGATCCCTTTATTTACCTTCTCTCATTTATGTCCTGACCACCCAGAGCCTGACCTCAAATTTAGATTGGGTTCTTCTCACCAACCACTACCCCAAAAGATAGTGATGCGTTCCTGATGGCACTGCAGAGATGTGTGGTAACATATAACCCCATAATTACTCATTACTGAGTGGATACTTTTGTTTTTTCTCCCAAGGTTTGGGATTCAAGTGCATGTTTAGGTACTGATGCAGCAGAACTTGGTACTCATGAACCATGAACCCCACCAGCTTCTGGTGCCCATCCCTTGCTCCCACATATTTCCAGTTGTTCCTTCTCCCAGCACAAGGACTGACAGGACCAGATGGTGAGCCAGGACAGGGAAAAGATCTTAAACAGCCTCCACATTACAAAAAAAAAGTTGTTAGTTTGAAAAATGAGACTTTAGCATTAACTACAGATGTGAAAAAAAAAAAAAAAGAACACAATAAAAAACTTCTCAAGAAGTTGCGGTGCTTTGCAAGAAGAACCCAGCATTTGTAAGATAAATCATCAAATCAGCCAGTGAGGAAATTACCATTGAGGAAATAGAAAAAAGTGAAACGGGATCAGTCTGCTGAACATCCTTCTAGCTTAAGGCAAAAACCCTGCAAGAAGGCAGACAATCATCACCACTGAGTGCTTATTACAAAAGTGCAGGCTAATGGCACTAGGTGATTACGTGAGACTTCAGGATAAAAATGGACAGCTAAGCCAACAGCCTGGATGGATGAGGAAAAGAAGAGAAAAATGATTTGAACAGGGCAGCTGAGGGCACTGCGGGCAGATGAGAGGCAGGCAGGCTGCTGAAGAGTTGGACTCGATGATCCTTACGGGTCCCTTCCAGTTTGGGGTAGAATCATAGAATCACAGATTCACAGAATCACTGAGGTTAGAAAAGACCTCCACGATCACAAGTCCAATCCCAACCCATTCCCACCATGCTCACTGGTCATGTCCCTCAGTGCCACATCCACCCTTTTCTTGAACACCTCCCTTGGCAGCTTGCTCCAATGCCTGAATGTTCTTTTGGATAAGATATTTTTCCTAATACCCAACTTCACTACTCTATGATCCTATGAAACTGGTGCTGGTTGACATCTGGATGGAGCTTGGTGGTCATCTGGTGATGGGTGTCAATTTGAGGAACACAACCTTGCCCTAAGGAACTCACATGTGCTTCAAGGTGCATTGGACAGTGCAGCAAAATACCACTGCCAGCATTTAGAGTAAAGTTGAGTGCAACCAGAACCTCCAATACATGCCCACCATGGTGGAATCAAGCCCTTCTGATGATGCCAAGTCACCATCTGTTCTTCTGTAGGCAGAAGAACAAGGAAAGATGTGGAGCTCTGTGTGAAGAACAACCTGAAGCACAGGCTGTAGCAGTGTGGGAAGATGGATTTCAGGTTGGATATTAAGAAACTTTTCTTCTCCAAAAGAGCAGTGATGCAGTGGCACAGCTGCCCAGGGAGGTGGTGGGGTCACCAAACCTGGAGGTGTTCAAGGAACGTGGAGATGTGGCACTGAGGGATGTGGGCAGGGGGCATGGTGGGGTGGGTTAACAGCTGGCCCATTCTGAGCATGACATTGAGTCAATTTTCAGTGTACAGAGGTCATAAGTGAGAATGAGCAAAACGGCAGAGAGAAAAAAAAAATCAGAAAAGGTGTAAAAGAATTCTGTTACAAATAATGCTGGAGAAATTATCAGGGTAGAGTGAAAACTCCTCATTTTCATTGTAACTAACAGCACCCAGTGAAAACAAAGATGCCCAGTATCAGTTAATCACCTTGTCTCCTCTGCATTTAATGAAAAAAAAATGGATGAATCCCCAGAGAACAACAATGTCTTTTTTTCCTTCCCTTACAGAGGGAGCTGGGATACCAGGCATTCAGATAACCAAAGTTAAGATCAATCCAACTCTAAACGGTGAACTGAAGGCAGCATTAAAAATGCAGAAAATACTGTATAAGAAAATGGAAAAAACATAAAAGCTTAACAGCTGATCTAAATTATAAATGAAAACTTTTAAGTGCGCCAAATGACAAGAGAAGATAAAACTTGAACTAAAAATTCATGTCTGACAGGGCTAAAACCACCAAAAAGGAGACTTTGAAATGAACACATACCAGAGGTGGTGTGTACTGCCTCCTGATAGCAAAGATGGTAAAATTTTTAGTATAGGAACACAAATTACTGTTTCTTCTCCGTGTTTGAGTAATAGGGGGATAAAGTACCTCCTCCTCGGAGTCAGAGAAATGCTTTCCACCAATACTGAGAAAAAGTGTTAAAGAGGATCTGCTACTATTTTTAGATCAACAGGGCTGTAATTACATGAGTGGTTATCTGGTCCAGCCAAGATAATTTTTAACAGAGCCCAGAGTACCAAGAATTGGGATGCGCCGTAGTACCGATATTCAAAAAGGAAGACAAGACAACTCATTAAGTGCAAACATCTTGCCCCGTCATTAATTCATTGAGGTGCTGATACAAGGCTCGAGTCATAAGCAACACATGAAGCTTCATGGCTTCACAGAAAGTAGATCTTGCCAAATTTTGTTATTTGATCGCATTACAAGTTTGACTTCTAAAGGAGCTGCACAGATGCAATGTATTTCACTATGAGAGAACTTACTGGTGACATCCCATTAACCAGTTAGCACAGCAAACAAAGCACATCCAGTGCAGTGAGAATTGGACAGCTACAGATTTCAGAGAAAAGATTGAAAAGGGCCATCAGTGAGATATCTGCAAAGGGAAAAAAACAGGGACACCAAGAACTCGTTCATTTAATGGAGGGAGAACCATATGGAATCATAGAATCATTAAGGTTGGAAAAGACCTCTAAGATCATCAAGTCCAACCATAATGCAACACGTAAAACCAAGTAATGACAAAATGGCCACGGGCTCTCAGGATAACTCAGGTTGGAGGGGACCTCAGGAAGTCTCCAGTCCAACCTCCTCCCAGGACAGCATCAACTTCATCCCAGGGCAGGTTGCTCAGGGCCCTGTCCAGTTGGGTTTTCAGAAACCTTCCAATGCTCTTGGCATTTTAACCCCAAAAGCAGCATATGAATCTGAAATATCACTGACCATCTGCACCCATGTGCAGAGCCCACAACGAAACGACTTTTTGCAAATTCCTTCTATTCCTTATAAAGGATTTATAAAGGTAAGACCAGCAATGCAAGAGTGTCAGAACAGGGAACCCCAGACTGTGGAGATGATGCACTGCATTTCTGACTCCCAGTGCCTTACTTTGAGTAGCTTCATCAGCCCTTCGAGCTGCACCATCAGTTCCCTTCTGCTTTCCTGAAGCGCAGACATCCTCTGTTCCAGCTCATCCTTTCTCTGCCTGTTCAGGTGACGGGAAAGAATTCAGAAAACAAACCCTGAGTATTTAGAAATTCAGGAAATTCACAGATAACATCTCTTTTTTTGTCACTCCCTCCTGCTTTCAATTCATAAAAACACAGCAAAACGCTGTACAACGGCCACAAATCCTATCCGTAACAATCTTTCCACTTACAATCTAAAAATCTGCAGTTAACATCTTGGTAGTAGGAAGCCTTTTTATTTATTTTGTTTGCACATTTGGATTTTGTGTTGAGGGACATGGTTTAGTGAGATCTATTGGTGATAGGTGGATGGTTGGACTGGATGACCTTGAAGGTCTTTTCCAACCTTAGTGATTCTGTGATATTTTTTTCTTTTCAGAGGGCTGTATTTTGAGAAAAAAAAGCCAACTTCCTTTTCATAACACTCTGCACATCAGAGCCAGGCATCCTGCAGAGCCTTCAGAATGAGCTATGGGAGGAAAGAAAGAAAGGAAAAGAGCAGAGAAGAGCAGAAAAGGCTGCAGATGTTTGGATCTATCACCTCTCTGGATGGAAGCTCAGCAGAGCTATTTCTGCCCAACAATGTGACATGCAGTCTTCGAGCCCAAAACCCATGGAGAAGAATAGGAGGCAATAAGTGTCTTTCCCTTTCCTTGGCATCAAAAAACTACTGCACTTCTGCAGATGCCTATCTGGGGGAGATGTAAGGAAACGTGGCCATATGGTTCTGTTTTATACGTAAAAAAAATAGTGGCTAATATAAAGGGAAATTCAAAGACAAACTGTCAACACGTGTCAGAAGTTCATTCTCTGATACGATTTAAGAAATGCCGGACCCCACAAATCACAGCCATAGGTATTAATAAATAACAGTAAGGAAAAACAGATGGGCACGGCTTATCCGTTCACTCACGGTTATTTTTGTGAATACAATAATGTCTCACTCCGGAGTTAAGGGCACCACATACTGCAGACTGAATTTTCGGATGGTATCTGTGTTCTTCCACGATGCGCAATGGATACAGCTTTCTGGGAATTTCAATAAAGCAATTGGACACCAGAATGTGGAACTCAGACTGCATCAATCCATCGAGTGCAGCAAGCTTTTGTTATGGTGGCTGTGTCATACAGCAAGCACTCACCCCAGCCAGAAAACTGTTCAGAGCACATTATAGAATTCTTTCTATTCTGGTTCTTAAAAGTACAGAAAACTATGAAGTATTTGCTATTTTAGGCATTTTAAAAATATATATTTTGAAGAATGTGGTTACTAAATGCCCAAATGTCACAAAAATGAGGCAATAAGGAGATCGCAGAATATCCCAAGTTGGAGGGGCCCCATAAGGATCATTGAGCCCAACTCTTCCATGATGGTACATTCATCGCCACCTGGAATATGAGCACCTGATGGAGCTGTGGCTGTCCCTGTCCATTGCAGGAGAGTGGGTCCAAAGGGCCTTTAAAGGTCCCTTCCAACTCAAGCCATTCTATGACTCCACAAATACTGTAAAAATCAACAAATTGAATATGTACAGCTCAATGCAGCTGGTAATTAAGACTCAACACCAACGTGTGGATCTGACTTCGGCTGACGTTACCTGCTTTCTTTTTCTATGGCTTTTGGTGAAGGAAGAAGAGGAACTGTTTATCAATGACAGAAGACGTTCAGTGATACAAAATAAAAACTACAGCCCCCAGAGACATAAATGGAGAGATGCAGACTGAGGCTCATGCCTGAAACAAACTGGTCATGGCACCTGGGTATAAATCAGCATCCTGAGCGCTCGCAAGCAGAAGAAACAAAGAACATCAGGGCACTCATCCAAGGTTACGTTTGCCAACAATGTGGTAGAGCTGACTCATGCCTATGGGCTGTGCTGTCTGCAGATTCTTCAACCTGGGACAAGTTGATTTTCCACAGCTTAACATTTTCATGCTTTTGTAACCTAAATTCTACACAGCAATTGAGACAATTTGGTAACACGTGTTTCGATGAAATCAGGGGCAAGGTCAGCCCAGAAAAGAAGACATAAGGTTTGGAAACAGCACTGGGCATGGGAAGGTCAGAAATAACACACAGACTTTTAGTCCTCTGAAAAGAGACAGAGCACAGATACCAAATGGCATTCACATTAGGGGTATCAAGAGAAATAGTATTTCCTTCATCTCTAAAAGGGTAAACATGGCACAGAAGGACATGGTCAGTGGGCATGGTGGGATGGGCTGCGGTTGGACCTGGTGATTTTAAAGGTCTTTTCCCACATTAATGATCCTATTATTCTAAAATAAAAGCTTGAGTGTCTGTCTGCCATGGATGCTTCAGCCCAGTCAGGGAGGGTCTGGCAGGAACAGCACAGGGAAAAAATTCTTATTCCATGTGATGCAGAAGGCCAGACTGAAAATCATGATGCTTCTCAGCCATTTGTGTCTGCATTTTTCTGTGCATTCAACCTTCTTTTCTTTAGTGCATCTCCTATGTGATGATTGTGTTTATGAACTTGAAGGCCAAAAGTGGCTGCATTGACCATTCAGGTTTTTCTGTTAACAAAATACAACTCAAATTCCTCCCAGTTAGCTCTATTTTTGAAGAATACCTACAGAAGACTAAAAACTCACTGCTCTTGTGATTATTGCCTCACTTTAGAAAACACATGCTTTTATTGTGGTCTGAATGTGCCTTGTTTCCTGTTTAAGCCCTTGGTTCTTATTGCATCTTTCTCTGCTGGAGCAAACACACACCAAGCTGCCTCACAATATCCCTTTTTGCAGCTCTTGCTTAATGTCTGTTGACATCTTCTGCATCCTCTCCAATTTTTAAACATTTAAAAAATACATACCTACGTGAAGTACATAGCTGGAAAATCTCTGTGCTGCTGTCATTAGGTAAGGGGATGAAAATATCAGCAAGATATGAGATATCAGCAAGATATGAGATATGAGATGAGATATGAAAAGTACTAAAATATAGCAGGATCTGCATGAAAAACCAACGAAAGAAGCTGAAATATTTATGTTTTCTAGCAAAGGACTAGAGTGCAGAAACTGCCTTTAGTTGCAGGCTCCATTCCAAAACCATTACGCTTTATGGAAAACCTACTATTGTGCCACTTCACAAGTGGACAGGAAAAAAAAAAAAAGGCAAATGGAATACAGTGTAGTTTTCAAAGTGCTGTTGCTGCCAACAGCTTGAATTTTAGAACCTACTTTAGATTACGAACACAATTTTTGAAGGTTCGGCTCTGAATTAACTTGTAGCAGAAGATGAAATAAAATACAGCTAGAGAACACCCTTGTGACTACCCAAACTATGAAACACTTTATTCTATAAATATCGTCAATTTCTCCCTGCCACTTAAAAATGTGAACTTAAAGAGGCTTAGAAGATTGTTCACCAACTGTGGGTGTATGTCTGAATATTTGTAGGCAGGAACTTTCAGAGTTTCACTGATTAATCTCACATTCATCTTCAACTCAACCCTTTTGAGCAATACATAATAAGTAGTTAATACCATTTTTCTTCTCAGTTGTTCTTCTTTGTAAACAGTTTTCTGAACTGTACAAAGAGAACTTGCGTTCAGAGACATTTTCATTTACTTATAAATCCATTTCTAAAAGGGAAAATTGCAATACGCTGTCACTCTTTGGAATTCAGCAGCTCAAAGCAAAGCTCTGAGGTCATGCTGATATTATAGAATCACAGAATCATTACGGTTGGAAATGACCTCCAAGATCCCCAAATCCAAGCCCAACCCACCCCCACGCTGCCCACTGCCCACGTCCCTCAGCGCCACATCCCCACATCTCTTGAATGCTTCTGCTGACGATGACTCCACCACCTGCCTTATGATGTCCCTGATAAGAGGACAGAGCAGACCAGTCAGCCAAGTGCACACCACCTTTCAGCCATTTCTATTACCGTAGGAGCCGAAGCTCAGCCAGTAGCGTTGGGTTCTGCTGGGCTTTCTCCGGCGTGGGCTGTGAGGCTTGCTCGTGCTCCAGTCTCAGACGCTGGATTTCCTGCAGTATTTCTCTATACAAATGAAAAGGGAAGATTACAGAGGAAGAGTGACCCTCTACACAGAGCTCTTAAAACTCTGTTACAGCCCTTCAAGCACTCTTGCCGTCACTCTTCAGTCTAAGTACAGCAATTTTGTTCATATATGACTGGCACAGATCTGAATCCAGGACAGCTACCATTAGCACAGTCTTATGAATTGCTGTAATATGCACTGCAAATTTACTACTTAAGTTATAAGAAGTAGGAATTTGCTTGTGTGCTGTACGCTGGCAATGACTCTTCAAAACCCTTCAAGTAGAATGGGTGGAAGAGGCAGCCAAGCTGCCCTCCTTACACAGCACCTTAACATCCCTGATTGAGATCTCCCTTATCTGGGATCTTGGTGAATAATTTCAAATACCTGCAGGCTCTCTTGAAAGTACAGCATTTACTTCTTACCAACCCTCCAGGACCAGGACTACTCTAAACAAACCCTATTACATTCACTGGCAGCTCCCAAGCCCATGGACAGGGTCACCTGATCACAGCTATGAGGCCAACGTGGCATCGGGACCCAACACACAGCCTGCAGCTGCTGAGCAGCTTGCTTTTTAGAACAGTACCCTTTTGGTTTCCCTTAGGCAGAGAAACATGAACCCAAAATAGGAGTGCTGAAGAAGCAAGGAAGGGCAAATGCAGTATTACAGTAAAAACAGAGTTACCTCTTCTTAATGATCCCTCTGAAACAAGAGGAGGAAACCATCTACAGCGCATCTCCTCTTTTTTCAGGCCTCCTAGTTTTCTCATATCATAGAGTCACTCAGGTTGGAAAAGACCTCTCAGATCCCAAGTCCAACTCCAATCCACCCCACCATGCCCACTGCCCACATCCCTCAGTGCCACAAGTCCACATCTCAAACACAGGGATGGTGACTACACCACTTCCCTGGGCAGCCTGTTCTAGATTCTTCTGTCTTCCAGGGAAAACAAAATATATGAAACAAATCCTCATTCCTCTCAAGTTATACACGTCCACCCTACCTGCTCCACCACTTATACCTGGTTGGCTATCCTGCTGCCACATGAACTTATCCAGCCATGGGGTTTGCTGGGCTGGAGCGCAGCAATACAGAGCTTCTGATAATCAGTACTGATGAATTTAAGGGGATTACTTAAGATCAGTTCAGAAGAACAACTTGCTTCCCAGGGAATAAAGGCACTGCAGCTGCATCAGCATTGAGCTCACTGGTTAATGACGCAGATGCATCTTCCAACAAAAGATGTAGGAAAACAATCTGGTTGATATAATACAAAGGGTTAAACACTACAAAGCAAAAACCCAAATGTTGTTCCTAAAACAACACCAATCAACGCTTGGTTTTTACCTGTTTTTGTTTTCCAGCTCTGCTATCAGCTGTCTTTGCTGTTTGTTGGCATCAAAGTTGAAACCCAGGTCTGTGGGTGGGCGAGGCTGGTGGATGGAGAACAAAGGAAAATCAGGCACAGCACTCGTTACCTGCTAACCACATACAACACCGTTTGGATCCAGCCCCACGTTTCCTGACTGACACAGTGCAACACCAACAGCCCTGAAGCAAAGCTATGCTGGGAAGGAACATTTGACCATGGTGCTTTTGGTGCTTTCCCTAGGTCCCATTTCTCCCCTTCTTCTAATTCATCATCTCGGAGGTGATACTGGGGTTAAATTAAGTCTTTCAGTGCCTTTATCTTTAGTGATTCTCTAGCTTCACTGTCTCTGTATGCTCAGCACACTTTTCACCAGCAGCTATCACCACCACTGAGAAAAGTACTGAGCATTTAAAGAGGAATCTGTGGTTTCTAGGAGAACCTACTGGCAGATGGGCTGTGAGATGAAGAAGCCAGATGCTTTGAATCCCAGAATCATTCAGGTTGGAAAAGACCTCTGAAAACACCAAATCCAACCCTAACCCATCCCCACCATGCCTACTGACCATGTCCCTCAGTGCCACATCCCCACGGTTCTTGAACAACTGCTTAGGTGGTCTCATATGACTCAAAGCTGTCCTGGCCATCACACACAAAAGATTCTCCTTGGGAGAACTTGGAGATGGCTTCCATCACTGTAAATATACAGCAGATGGATGGAAGAGATGGGTATCGACCTCTGCTCCTGGGGAATGAATGGGAGGAGAGTGATTGAACCAGGACAAATTCTTCAAAAAGTCTCAAAGCTGATGCCCATGGTCTCTTCATCTCCTCCTGCCATCAAGACAAGCATAGGTGTGCTCCATTTGCAGCCTCTTGGCCTTCCCCTGAAGCACTTGGTTCCACTGCAAATTAGGAGGCTGCCTACAATGAAACAATCCCATCCTCAACCTCTTTCTTCAGGAATCCTGTACAAAGCCTGAAATCATCCCCATGACCTAAGGTGCTCAAGTCCTCAGGAGAAAAGTCAGCACTGCAGAGGAACTAAGCCCGTGCTGCTCGCTTGATCATCAGATGTTGAAAAGTCATTTGGAAATCTCACAGTGGATATTTTGCACGACAGCTCAGTGCTTTCTTGTTTTCCTCAATGCTTTCCTAGGGTCAATTCAAAGTTTAAAGGTAACTCCAAATTGCAGAGCTGTTGAGATTCAAAAGGACCTTTGGAGAGGGAATCATAGATTCATAGAATTATTAAAGTTGGAAGAGATCTCTAAGATCATCAAGCCTAACCACCAACTTGTTACCATTCCCACTAAATCTAAGTATTCCACTCGCTAGTTTTATGTTTTTATTGCTGAGACAGTTAATGTAGAGCTTGTAAGAATAAATCATGTTACTTTCCTTACACTGTGGCAATCAAATCCTATGTATAGGAGAGAAACCATTAACATCCTGCTCTTTCACTTCAGTGCTGCTGACATTCCCTTTACTCTTGAATTCAGTACAGCAGTTGCTTCAGATCTGCAGACTGTACCTCACTGTGACAAGCAGACAGTACTCTTGAGGACACGACTAAAATACCAAATTATGTGAGAAATTCTAGAAATGGTTGGAAAAAATTGGCTGCATTCTATTAAGTAGAGTGCAACTGCTCGTATTTACTTTAAACTTGTCAACTGCATTGACACCTGAAGGCAGCAGTTTTGCAGAAAAGGACCTGCAAATACGAGTGGTTTGCACACCGTACAGAGCCAGTAATGTCACATTTTTGCAGAGCCACTGAGTCCTGAGAGAACTGGCTGATGTAGTCACCAAGCCACTCTCAGCAATATCCGAAAAGTCACGGCAGTCAGGTAAAGCCCCTGGGGACTGGAGAAAAGGCAATGTCACATCCATGTCTAAGACAGGTAGAAAGGATGATGCAAGGAACTACTGACCTGTTAGCCTCACCTCTGTGCTGGGCCAGATAACGGAGCAGATGCTTCTGGAGCTGTGCTAAGGCACATGGAAGACAGGGAGCTGCTAAAGGAGAATCAGCATGACTTCACCAAGGGAAAGTCCTGCTTGACCAACCTATGGTGGCCTTTTATGATGGTGTCACTGCGCCAGTGGAAAAGGAAAGAGCTGCTGACATCATCTGTCTGGACTTCAGTCAGACCTTAGACATGGTACCCCACAACATCCTTCTCTCCAAATTAGAAAGACATGGATTCGATGGGTAGACTGTTCAATGGATGAGGAACTGGTTGTGAGATCGTTCCCAAAGAACAATATTCAATGGCTCCGTGTCCAGGTAGAGATCAGTGATGAGTGGTGTCCCTTGGGGGTCAGTACTGGGGCTGGTGCTCTTTATCCTCATCAATGACATCAACAGTGGGACTGAGTGCATCCTCAGCAGTTTATGGATGACACCAAGCTGTGGGCTGCAGTTGACACACCAAAGGGACAGGATGCTATGCAGGGATCTAGACAGGCTGAGCAGTTTGCCCAGGAAGACCTCATGAGGTTCAACAAAGCCAAGTGCAAGGTCTGCACCTGACAACCCCCACTATCAATACAAGCTGGGGGGCAAAAGGATTAAGCACAGCACTGGAACAGGTTGCCCAGAGATGTGGCAGATGCCCCATCATCAGAGACAGTCAAAGACAATATGCAAGGTCTGAAAGACAGAAGAGAATAAACGAATAAGAGGAGACAACATAAAAAATCTGAAATACACAACACTTACTGCCAAGAGAAAGCCATATATTATTCTTGATGTCCCCTGAGGCAAGAGAATGCAAACCAAGCAGGGAATAATTAAGTTAAGATTCAGGAAAATCGTTTTATCAGTAGATGAATTTTACAGATTGGCACAAATTGCCTCGATGTACTCTATCTGGAATGGACTTCAATGTGTTGTGGTTTTTTTTTTAAGTTACATGGCTAAATGTCTGCCCAGAGCTGAACTGACCTACAGTGGAGCATAGCTGCTACTCCAAAACAGAATGGTGTTGTAAACAGGAATGTCTCGGAACATTTTTTTGCTAAAAATAAGTCAATTTTTCTCTAAAACACCCTCAGATATCCTATAACTCATCTTTCTATCAAATCTACAGAGATAAGACATCTTCTCTATTTTCAGGCTTCTGAACTGGATGGATGCAGTTTGAATAAACAGCTTCCTATCTCTCCTGTTTTGATTCATTTCTAACTTTATCCTTTCAAGCCAGAAAAACCTGACTCCCAGACACTTTTCTGCTCCCATCACTTCTCAGGTTCTTTGATGAGGTTTTCTCTTCACCCTTCCTTTTTTCTCCTTTATCATTCTTGTTACTGCTCTTCTTTCAGATTGATTTATAAACCTCCAAAAACCTGTGCAGAAGACTGTATTATTTCACAGAAACTGAAGAAATCCCTGACTACCACAACATCATTAACAAAGAACTAATTTAAGCCATGATCTTTGATTTTTTTTTTCCCCATTTCTTTCTATGGTGGGAAGAAGTATTTGTGTTCAGGTTGCATTTTTGGGTGACTTTTCCAGCAGTAGCTCAAGAATTGAAAATATCTGAAATGAAAATGTCTTATCAGTTACTCTGCTTGCAGGATGAGTAGTCTGAATCTTTCCTTGAGTCATCCTTCCTTGAGTCATCACTGATCAATAATCCTCCAAACTGTTTTACAACCTACTCGAGACTTGCAACTATCTCCTCTCTAACAGGCAAGTATCTGCTGCTACAGCCTGTAAAGCAAAATACAGTGTCATAAGGAAGGGAGTGAACAGCTTAATGAAGGTTGGCTCAACTTTTGCAGCAATCCCAGGATGCTGTCACTCTTCTGAAAGCAGTGGATAGCGCAGGGAGAGAAAGCTTTCTAATTAATAGGAGATAATTTGGAAGTATGAGATATCACAGAATCATGAAATCATTAAGGTTTGAAAAGGTTCGACCTGTAGGATCACCAAGTCCAACCTTGAAGCCATCCCCACCATGCCCACTCTCTCACAGTATCATGGAATCATTAAGGTTGGAAAAGACCTCCAAGATCATCTAGACCAATTGCTGACCCACACCACCATGGCCACCCCCATCCAAAGGTGCAGATATCCTTTTGGGTTTCATCCTGGACAGCCTTCTTCAGTGAGTGAATTTCCACAGAGCACAGGAAAGGAAACTTGTCCTTTGTGGCTTTCCTTGTTGGTGAGGGGTGAAAATCTCATAAAGATAATAACGCCAACTATTATGGCATAGAAACCCTGTTGGACATGGCTCACCATTTCTGAACACAGGATCCTAAGGCAATAATATGGTATATAATATAATAACAATATGGCAGATCCATGCAGAAACAATCTGAAGAGTTCATTCAGGGTAACAGGACTCAGAAGTATGGTGGGGCTTGAAAAGTAAAAAGCTTTTTGATACACTGAATCATAACACAGGTCTCCAGTTTCAACCAAACAGCAGCAAGACCAAAGCCAAAGCTTTTCAAGCTGAAGACTGCCATTATTAAAAGGAAAATGTTAAATAAAAAAAAGTTTCAAAGCTATGCAAACTCTCTCATGTGGCTGAAAGTACAATCGCCATTATTTTCTGCTTTTCTGGTGCTCAGCACGAGTGCTGAAACCTTGGAAGTTCTGAGGATCACCCAAATGGCAAGCTCTATCCTCTCCCAGAAATGAAATCTATAGGAAGATGGTTATAAAATCTACTCCAAATCCTTCATGTCATATACAGGAACAGTGAAACTTTCTAGTACTGTGCTTCAGTTTTTCTATGGCACAGCATTAAGCTTGAGAGATGCCATGCTGGATCTTTAAGCTGGACTGGGATTCACCATAAGGAACTACAGTATACTTTTTTGGGTGTAAGCAGAGGATTTAATTACACTTTTTAATCAAGTTCCAAAAAAAGGCAGTTTGGTGAGCAGTTGCACTCCTCCATCAGCTGGATTTGGAAGAACCTGTCAAAACCCACTGAAGCTTCCCGTGGGCATCAGCTTTCCATTCCTATGCTGTAAGGACTGCACTGTGTGATGAAAGACTGGAGCAGTATTTCACCTCTTCACTACTGCAGTGTCACAGTGTTCTTTATAATCAAGACAGAGAAGAAGAAACAACAAAAAATTGTTCGTGTAATTCCTGTGTGCAGGAGAAGATCCAAGAATGAAGCTGCAGATTTATCCTGAAAAGATGTATGACAGCAAATCTGATTTACTTGTTCGTTACTTATTTAAGAAAACATGTATGAGATATTACCTAATGCCTGAAAGAAGAAGAATTAGTAAAGGAGAATATTACAAACGTTATTTAGGTTGTAGGTACAGTAGCTTTAATGAGATGAGATGATGACAGGCTTTCAGTAGTGCTTAATGTTGAGGGAAGAAGGCAACCACACACTGTTTTCAAAAAAGAGCAGCGTGGGCAAGAACCTAATTATTGCTAACTCATCCACATAACTCAACCTAGTTAGCCACTCATCCATAATTGAGTATTTTCTCCTATTTATTAGGTGCTCGTGCTTTTTTTTGTAGCGAGGTCAGCAGAGCCCTGCCAGGAGCATGCTGGTGATCCCCCAAGAAACATTGAGCCCAACTGCATCCTCATACAGCACTATCCAAACCCAAACTCTGTGTCTAAGAGTGATGTCCCAATGCTCCCTGAGCTCTGGCAGCATGGAGCCGTGCCCCCTGTCCTGGGAGCTGTTCCATGTCCACCATCCTCTGGGAAAGAATCTTTCCCTAACTCCCACCTGACCTTGGAAGAAGAGATTTAAGTGAACTTTGGTATTCTTTCTGTTGATTTCTTCACTTTATTCCCCTTGTCACCTTTTGCTTTTCTCTCTTTTGCTTTCCACCTCCTCCGTCTACCTCAGCGCGCAGCGCTCAGCTTGACTGAACTGGAAAGCCCAAGCATAGCCCTGAGCAACTTGAACTCAATAAAAAGGAATCTGTCCTCCGAAGACTGGCTTGAAGAAAACAAGAACAACCCAGTCAAAGCTTCTTCTGAGTGAACACAGACTGGACTGATGCTTACCAGGGTGTAATTGCACTGGTTGCATGCCACGAGCCTCTGCTGCACTAGTGAGTAAGTAAATTACATGTATCGGGTGACAGATGATGCATTCTCCTTTATTCTCTTCTCTGCCCATTCATTTTTCTTCTTTAAGAAGAAACAGACTTGGATTTCAAGAATTAACTCTGAGATCCGCCTCAAATTATTTTGGCCCAGTAAGACTTCAAGCAAAGATGGTTCCCCTAAAAAACATTAATGGAATGTATTTGCATTCATATTACAAGTGACATTTATTATAGTAACTAGCCTGCAGAAGGCAGCTTTAACATTTTATCTAATTTGAGAAAAAGCAGAAGCTGATGGACTGGGTCAGATCCATCACCACGTTGTCCACTGTACAATTTCCAGAAGCGATCACTGTCAGCCACTTCAAAGAGAAGAATAAGCAACTGTGCCTCAGGCTGTTGCAGCATGAACAGCCTCTGCATCTGGAGCCCTCTTAATTTCCAGCAGCCAACGTAAAAAAATAGAGTATTATGTCAGAGAAGTAGGGCTGGAGAGGACATCAAGGAACACTTTTGTTCACATCACATCAGTGTATCGTCAGTATTTCCAGCAGAAGCAAGACTGGTCTGTCTTTATGGCACTTCGGTCCCAGCCCCTACTTTCATTAAGATTCACATTCATACAAAAATTCAGGTGAGGAAGGATCTCTGAAGGTTTCTAGTCCAATTCATGGCATGTTGCTGTAGACCTCTTCCAGATGAGCTCTGAGAACCTCCAAGGATAAGATTCCACTTCTCCAATGAACAACCTCTTCCAGTATCTGACCATCATCGTGGAGAAATGCTTTCCTTAAATACATCATTAGAATTTCCTTCTAGCAACTTCTGCCTGTTGCTTTTTGTCATGATCAATGCTTATGTTTCTTTCACTGGATCTCTGAATGGGTGCTGGATTGGTGTTGTCCTCTGACTACCCTGGCATAATTATCTGCTGTAGAGAATATTTTACATGACCTTCAGCAGTAAAGACTGACACAAACAACTCTTTGCTTTGGTCTCCCTGATTACTTTGAAATATCTTGATCTTCAAAGAGCCTTGCAGACTCCTGGTTAGTATCCAACCTTTGATGGTACTGAAAATCTTTTTGCTATGGATTTCAGACACCTTTGGATTGTGCTCTTCCAGTTCCCCTCCTGTCTCTGAGTTTCTGGTTAACATTTAACCAGCCACGTTTATGGGTTTCTTGTTCTTTTCATCTGGGCAGGTTCTCCATTTCCTGAATGCCAACCTTAGGACATCCCCTTAGCTTTCTTATTAACCCAGAAAGAGAACTGCTTATATGGTTTTGTTTTCTTTTTGCTGCTTTTCTGGGCTTCTACTAGAACATTCTGAACAGCTTCCACACAGCTTATAGGTTTCCTGTTTTTCAGACTGCTCATTTCAGGATTTTTTTTCTGATTATTCCATTTTTATATAGTTCCCCTTATTGAAACTGAGTATCTGCATCCTGGATTTTCTTGGTGAGCTCCCTCCTGCTGCTAAACCCACACGTGTGATGGTTGCTCCTACTGACCAGTGGGCACTGCCAACACCACATGAGCTCATCCTGGTGCACTACTGGACAACAAACCCCAGAGAGATTCCTTTTGTAGACTGTAAAACAAGTTGCTCACGGAAATGCCATTTATTGCACCCAAATGAGCTTTTTCCTCTCCCTCTGAAAAGGCTCTGATTTGGTCTCTATGTGGGTAGCTGAAATCTCCCACTGTTACTTACCTGTCCTACATTATTATCATGTAATCAGGGGTCAGAACTTCTTTTCTATCATTAAGAATCTGCAATTTCAGCTCACAAGGATTCTGCAGCTCTTTTTCTGTGATATTTTTGAGCTGTCACACTGTTTCTTTCCCCTATGTATAACATCAGTCCCTTGCCTGCGTGTCCTACTGGATCATGCCTGTAAAGCTGGCAGCCGTAAAATCAATGAATGGCTGTTGGACTGGGGTTGTCATTATTTCCCAGCCTCTGAGTTGCTCCCATCTCTTTTCTTTGATGTTATAAAAAGAATCTTAGAAGAAAAGAGTGCAGATGGAAAATCTCAGCCATTCCATGTCCCACACCATGAGCCTTCCCCAGGATGCTCCTCCAGGGAGATCTCCCATTGGCAAGAAAAGATCAGAAGCTGCCATGATGCAGAGAGCATTTGAAAGAAGACCTAAAAATCTGATTTCTTCAAATCATGAAAAGCATGTCACTTTTGGCTGTTTAGTAGTTTCTGACTGTGAATAAAACACTGGACTCAGTAAAGAACCTTAGGTTCCTTGCTATTAAGCTCTGGGCACAAAGCAAACACTATATGATTATTCTTACATCCTTCTTTCACCTCCACACTTCAGTCCCCAGCAGTGCTTTGTCATCACTCTACTAGATAACGTAGGGAATGACAGAATGGATTGATGGAATGATGGAATGAGGGAGTAGTTTTTCAAAGGACTTTGAAAAGTCTCCATAAGCTCTAAATGTTGCTTCCTTTACATCCAAAGAAGCTGCCTCATTTTTGATCTACGAAGTACACACAAACAGGTTAAGGTGATCCACAAATTTATAAATGATTGGGATCTTTCAGACCCATATTGTGACACTTCAGTTTTCATTAGTATGACCAAAAAATAAAAAAATCAAGAGTAAGAATTCTTCCACCATTGGCCAGAGTGAAAGCAATTCAGCACAAATTTCCAACAGTATGTAATGTTAAAGATGAAGAAGACACTGACTTAGCATACTTATACAAATGCTTCCCTTCCCCTCTTTCAGGCTCTTTCTCTACGCATAAACACATTCCATGACATTTGCTCCACAATTTCTTTTCCTTGCGTACCTGCATAATTCTCTCTTCTGCAGACAGGGAGGACTGCCTTGTGCACTCTCTCATCTCCCCTAATCTGGCTCGTGGTGGTCAACCAAGTCAACCATAGGTCCACCACTGATCAACCACTGGTCAACTGCTGGCCAACTGTTGGTCAACCAGGACCCCCAGGTCCTTTTCTGCAGAGCTCCTCTCCAGCAGCTCAGCCCCTAACCTGTACTGATGCACGTGGTTATTCCTCTCCAGGTGCAGGACTTGACACTTGCCCTTGTTGAACCTCATCAAGCTCCTCTCTGCCCAACTCTCAGCCTGTTTATGTCTCACTGGATGTCAGCCCCTCCTCTCAGCTTTGAATCATTAGCAAACTCACTAAGGGTACTTTCTATCCTTTCATTCATCCCATCCCAACGTCACTGACGAAGACGTTGAACAAGCTATTAATTAAGCTCTGACAAACACCTCCTGCACTGCACACCAAGCAAAACAGAGGAACGCAGAGGTGGGGCTGGTGCATTTACTCACCGTGTTGCTGGCCTCAGCGGCCAGCCTGGCTGCGTAGCGGGCGATCAGGCGGTGCTCCTCGTCCAGCCGGCCTGGGCTGTCCAGCACACTGTGGGGACAAGGACAATTATCAGCCCTATGGGGACAGGCCACTGCTGGGACGTGCTTACAGCAAAGAGAGAAGTGATGTGAACAGCCTACTCAGCATGCTCTTTGTCATCCCTCTTCCAAGTGGGGGCTGCTCTGAGACTTTGCACCTCACAGCATTTCCTCCATGATTCATACACTCTGGTTTTCAGTGATAAAAATAATTAATCTTTACTAATTAACCAAATAATCATAATCATAGAATCACATAATTGTTAAGGTTGGAAAAGATCTCTGAGATCATCAAGTCCAACCATCAACCCGTCACCACCATGCCCACTAAACCACGTCCCTAAATAGAATCACAGAATCTTTAGGGTTGGAGAAGACCTCTAAGGTCATCATATCCAGAGGGAAGCTCCTGGCCTCAGGACAGCCAGTCACCAAACAACGGGAACTGAACACCAGCACCATGATCAGGCTTACACCCAGCCATGCAGGACGTGGCCGTACAAGTTGTGATCCTCACACCTTGGACAGCATCAGGCTGAACAGCTCAGCAGCTGCTCGCTGCCTTATTGCTGCACAAAGGTTTTCAGCACAGTCTCCCTTTAACAGGGAGCCAGCCAATTAGTTATGTAAACCAAAACACGGTTAGCTGAAAACCAGCATTAGCATGGAAATGAGCAACGCGTTTTCGTGCTGCAGCGCAGCCTTCCCAAAGCTGCTCCTGGTGTTTGATGTGGGATTCACCAACACCTCGTGGGCAGCCGTAAATAATGTGCAGCCCTACCTGGGTGTGTCTGTAACCACACAGCAGAAAACAGAGAGCAAAGATACACATCTGATGCACAACAACAGCTCCTTTCAGCCCCTGTTTACCGCTTTATGAGATAATTTACATTTGTTTAAGCTCCATTTCACAGATTTATGTTGATGTTTAAAGAACCACATCTATGTTGTATAAATCACATTTATATAAAAACACAGATTTATTTTTATAATGCCAAATTGAACAAATTGAACTCTTCTGAGACTCGGAGTCTCAGAATTAAGGGAAGGAAAACAGAGCCTCCACTCCAGGCTTGATGATCTCCTTATAGGTCCTCACACTCATTTTCTGATTAAATAAGAACAATTTTTCTGATTCCACTTTCTGAATTTCATACCGGTTTCGGTCAGATTTCCTCTGTAATTTAGCCTGGTTGAGTCTTCCTGATTTACAGGAAGGCAGACCATTCCATCCCTTCCACCTTTTCTATCATCTGCTAATTACTCTCCTAATTACTCTCTCAGTTCCTGGAACAATTATTTGTTCATACCTAAGTGAATTAGGAAATAACTACTGTCAATTTCTTACTTTCTTGGAGAAAAGTTGTAATTAAAAAATAATAAAAAAAAAAGAGCATTTTGCATTTGCTTTTAGACCAGAAGCACTGGTGCAGATTGGGAACACTGATGCGGCAGAATTTTGGAAAGGTAATGCTGGAGATTTCTGTGTCCTAAAAGCTTTGTGCCATACTGGCAGCTTTGTGCTAGGTGCAGAGCACTGCCAGTCAAACTGTAAGATCTCCCACCTATCCTATGAAGAGTCAGCCTGTCGATGACATCCTGGCAAAGCAGATGGAGAGGTCCAGTAAAGGCACACTCATGCTCTGTTGCCAAAAACTAACAGAGAAATGAGCCCAGATAGCCAAATTATTGGCAAGGGCTGAGGGATGGGTAAAGGATGTAAGAGAAGATGACAGGTTAGGTGGCAGCTTGGTGATCTCAGGAATTCATGATGCAGAGACGTGGCAGAGGACAGCGCACAAGGCTTGGTTTATTCTTCCAGCACTGAGTTGACGGTGCAAGGAGTCAACCAGGATGAACTAGGTCCCAAGTTGTACCAGAGGAAGTTTTGATTGGATCTTATGGAGAATTTCTTCATGCATGACTTGGAGCCGCCTAGGGCAGTGGTGGGGTCCCCACCCTTGGAGGAACCAAAGAAATGTGGCACTAAGGGACATGGCTTCACAGAATCACAGAATGATTTGGGTTGGAAGGGACCCCAAGGATCATCAAGTTTCAAACCCCCTGCCACAGGCAGAGCCAATCTCCAGATCTGCTACTAGACCAGGCTGCCCAGGGCCCCATCCAACTTGGCCTTGAACACCTCCAGGGACAGAGCATCCACAGCCTCTCTGGGCAGCTGTTCCAGCACCTCACCACTTTCTTGGTAAAGTACTTCCCTGACATCCAGTCTATACCTGTCCTCTTTGAGCTTAAAACCATTCCCCCTTGTCCTGTCACTGTCTACCCTTGCAAAAAATTGATTCCCCTCTTTTTTATAATCCCCTTTTAAATACTGGATGGCTGCAATGAGGTCACCTCGCAGCATTCTCTTCTCCAGGCTGAACAAATCCAACTCCCTCAGCCTGTCTTCATAGTGGAGGTGCTCCAGCTCCCTGATCATCTTTGTGGCTCTCCTCTGGACCCTCTCCAACAGCTCCCTGTCTTTCCTGTACTGGAGACTCCAGACCTGGACACAGTGCTGCAGATGGGGCCTCACAAGAGCAGAGTAGAGGGGCCAATCACCTCCCTGTCCCTGCTGGCCACCCCTCTTCTGATGGAGCCCAGGATACCAATTGCTTTCCAAGCTGCAAGAGCACACTGCTGGCTCACATTAAGTTTTTCATCCACTGGGAAACCTGGGTCCTTCTCTGCAGGGCTGCTCTCAAGGAATTCTTTTCCCAGTCTGTATGCATATCTGGGATTACTCCGACCCAAGTGGTGGTGGCACTTGGTGCATCAGGCTGATGGTTACATTTTGTGATCTTGAAGGTCTCTTCTGACCTCAATGAATGGATGTATCTATTCTATGATTCCAATGGTGACCGAAGAGTAAAAATCTTGGGGACAGAATATGCTTAAGGAGAATGATTTTCTCCTTGCATTCTGCCTTAAAGTCAGCAGCGCTGCAGACAATTGTAGTTTCAGGGTCAGGATTTTAAAGGAAATGAAATCAAACCATCTGAGCAGCTAAACAGCCATCTGTCCACCTGGGTCAACTGACCACAGGTGAAAAACACAGATCTGGTGGCCAGCCACTCTGCAGGAAATGCAGAATACAGGATGCATAAAAATAATGAAACAGTAGGCTGAAAAAAAAAGAAAAAAGGAAAAATATATTATTGTAAAATAAAAATATATTATTGTAAAATAAATGAAATCCACTGAGCTCTGTTTGCTCTAAGCCTTATGCAGCATGGGAAAAATTTTTGGTTGGAAGACGTTGGTAAATTATTCTTAATAAGATGAGAGAAGGTGAGTGATGGTCACTGCAGCTCGTCAAGACTGCTATACTTGCACTTGAGCTCTTTTGACCAAAAAAGGGGAAATAAAAGATCAAAAGAAGAGACAATGGAGTACAGATTTCATCGGGAATGTGGGGAAGCATTCTCTCGTGCTGACTTGGAACACTCCTTTGCACAAAGAGAGTGAGATTTAAATTATTTTCTTCGCATTTGGCTCCTTCCAGGAGTGCACTGTTACTCTGGTAACCATACCAAAGGCATTTTTTAATTTAAAGACCTAAATGAGTGAAAACCTCTACTGCAATGGGTTGCAACACAGCAGCTATTAGCCACGTCCAATATTTCACCGTCGTATTCTGCAAGATGCAGTAACTTCTTTCTATCTTAAATCTGGTGATTGCAGTAATTCCTTTAGTTTATTGTCATGTGAACAATATTATGGGCTTTCAGTTCAGCAGAAAACAGTGACTCACTGTCAAGAAACAAACTGACTTTCTCCAGAGATCTGGAAAGCCAAAATGCACTCCATAAATACGGCAGTGGAATACAAATTTCTACATGGCAGAGTGGTGAAATAAGGCTCTAAAAATGTTATCCATAGGATAACAACATGGAAAAAGCCCTGAATCACTAAACCTCCTATTCCCTTCCAGCACAATAACTCTGTCTGTGCAAAGGCAAAATTTAATTATGTCCAAAAGTGGAATATGGAAGCCCTCTGGCTGTGTCCTGTGATGAAATGGGAGAACTTTGCTTTGGGGCTTTAGGGTAAGACTTTTCTACACGGATACGAAATATGAATGTGCACAAACACTAAAGTTGAAAAAAAAATGAAATGAATTCTTCAAAACATTAGCTTTCCTTGAAAGGGCACAAAAAGAATCACAGAATCACAGAATGGTTGGTTTGGAGAGGATCTCAAAGATCACCTAGTTTCAATCCCCCTGCTATTGGCTGGGTGCCCTCACCAGACTCCCAGGTTGCCCAGAATCCCACCTAGCCTGGCCTTGGGCACCTCCAGGGATGGGGTTCATGTGTGCCCAGTTTTTAAGCCTGTCCAGGTCCCTCTGGATGGCCTCCCCCCTTCTCTTGTGTCAGCAGCACCTCTCTGCCAGGTGTCATCTGCAAACTGCTGAGGGTGCACTCGATCCCATCGTCTATGCCACTGATAAAGATGTTGAAGAGGACCGCTCCCAAGATGGACTCCTGGGGGACAGCACTCATCAAAGCCTCCACCTGGACATAGAGCCACTGACAGCAACCCTCTGGCTGTGATCGTCCAACCAATTCTTTATCCAAATAGTCCAGCCTTCAAATCTGCATCTCCCCTAGGTAGAGATAAAGATGTGGTGCAGGACCATATTAAATGCTGTGCACAAGTCTGGGTAAAGAGCAACAGTTACCCTTCCTTTGTCCACCAATGATGTCACTCTATCACAGAAGGCTACCAGGTGGGTCAGGCATGAAGCCACGAAGCTGCTGCATTGTGCAGCTCGCACTGATGTGACTGACAGAGGTTTAGCCCAGGTCAACAAGAGGTGCAACAGGGTGGGACGTTATCTATGGCTGCACAAGGTATGCAGAGGGATAACCAACAGGGAGAAGGAAGAGCAATTGGAGTTACAGAACAAGGTGGGCACAACGGCCGTGAGCAAGCTGTGAAAAAGCTGAAGGTGCAAATGAGAAGCTCTCCTAGCACTAACCGTGCCCCGCGCTGCAGCCGGCTCACATAAGTTGCAATCAGTGCATGCTCATCAGCTAATTGGCCAGCAGCGTCTGCCTTGCACTGCAACCTGGTGATGGTGGAGGCAAAAAAGAGCAAACAAAACACAAAGTGAATACAAAGCAAATAATTAATGGGTTTTAACGAAACTAAACGGTTAAACATTGAAACAAACAGTTAACAATTAAAACAGTTAAAAATTAAAACAAATAGATGAGTAATTAAAATGGTAAATATGAGTCACACGAAAAGGACACCTTGTGCAGTTAAAGATAAGAGCAGGGAACCATTTGGGTGCCCCAGTGTGCAGTGCACTTGGTTACTGGTGATGCTTCCACCAGCACGGTGGTTTTCATGGAGCCACTCTGGAATTTGCTTTGGAACCAAAACCGGGTGAAATGTTGCCTCTTGGGCTCTATGTAGAACTCATCCTATCGACTTGCTGCCAGCCCCAGGATAAGCCCAACCCCACAGGGCTGCAGCTCTACAGGTGTGTGGAATGAGAACTGGAAGCACCCAGCTTCTTTTTTCCTCATGCAACAAGAGGGCCAGCAAAGAGAGAAGGAGTGTGATAGAAAACAAAGAAATGCAGTGCAGTAGGCAGAAACCTACCACCTGTCAGGGGTTCCTTACATAACACTGTGTTTTTCTTTGTTTTGAGCACATAAATAAATAAACCTATTACACTTCTGAATAATGTTATGAATAGAGATTGAGTGCAAGAAATATCTGTTGGAAGTACTCCCACGTGGATAACTGTATGCAGCCCAATGAGTACGTGATGCTTTCCACCATAACAGCAGCGTCTCAGAACCTCTGACAGAATACAGCAAAATGGTTATTTCTTTAGTCCCAGGCATTGCACACAAAATCAACAGCAATTTTCGTACACTGGAGCTTCCCCACAGGCAGGTGAGCAATGCCTGCAGACCCAACCTGCTGCCACGCCAACGTGTTGCTGTTATCTGAACATAACAGGCATTTCTTCCCAAAATAGAAGTGTACAAGGCATTCCATTCTTCATTTCTGTGTCAGGTATTCAAGCTGCTCTTTCAACTTACAAACCACAGTTAATTCCTTCTCCGCACATGTCCAGGAAGTATTTGTCTCTAAGCTTTATAAACGCAGTATTTATTGCTTTCAGCATCAATATTCAGATGCAATGAAAGCAGAATTCGCGTCTTCCAGACATACAGACTCTTTTCTTCTCTGCTACGTGCAGCAACATGTCAGAGAGTCTGCCAGAAACAGAGTGAGACCTCGTAAAAAGGAGGAAAGTGGAATTACCCACATCACCCCCTCTGGGCAACGAGCAACCTCTGTAATAATGGGTTTGTAACAAGAAAGAGACTTCACATTAACCACTGCACAGAGGAATTCTTAAGCAATCCACACTTTGTGAGGGCTGACTACAGCCAAGTGCTGAAAAGCTTTATTTTAGATGTGCACTATGGCTGGCACATTGCTGCAGCCACGAGAATTGAGATTCCGAGACCTTATTCATTACAACTCCACGCACGTGCTCCTGTGAAAAGAAAATGCCCGGCAGAAATGACCACATTTTGAACTCCAAACAGCTATAGCGTTAATGATGATTAGCATTTCTGCTTCTGAAAGGAGGAAAAAAGGAAGAGAGTTAAATTAACATGAGACTGAACGCTGTTCCTAGCATCTTTGATTCTTTTCATTTGCATTTAGAAGTCACGGATTCATAGAATCAATAAGGCTGGAAAAGATCACCAGGTCCCCAAATCCAACCCACCCCACCATACCCACTGCCCACGTCCCTCAGTGCCACATCCCCACACTTCTGGAACACCTCCAGGTTTGGTGACCCCACCACCTCCCTGGGCAGCTGTGCCACTGCATCACCAGTCTTCCAGAGAAATACTTCCTTATATCCAACCTGAACCTCCCCCGGTGCTCCAGACCCTTCCCCAGCTTTGTTGCCCAACAGATGCATCACCACAATAAACAGATGCAGCCTGGGAAGAATTTGTCACCGTGCTGGCAGGCAGCGCCAACTCCAGCACACAGATATCTTCTCGTCGAGGAGAACATCGACATGCAGTGGGCAGGAGGAAGCGTAGGGCTTAATGGCATCCTGTGGGTGGTGGTGATGAGTTGACAGTTGGACTTGATGATCCTAGACATCTTGTCCAGCTTTAATGACTCTGTGATTCTCTGAGTGTGCATGGTGGGGATGGTTTGATGGCTGGTTTCAGTGACCTTGGAGGTCTTGCCCAATGTTAACCATCTTCAGATTCTATGAATGTAAAATTCTGTAGGTATGCACGTTGCTTTCAGAGAGCAGAAGTATTAAAATACAAAGCTAGTGCAGGTAATCCTGAGCTACCAAATGCACATTCAAACAAAAAGCACGCAGCTTGTGCCCTCTCTCCTAGAACCTCATGCTGAATGCTGCCCTGTTTGCAGAGGGCACTCCGTGCCATCTCTCAGAGCATCTCCCTCACGACTGCACCAAGAAAGCAAATTTCAGTTCTGCTGACGTGCATCTTCCACTCTTGTTTCTGCAGAGCCTGTCTCTTCCTGAATTCAGCTCCTCAGGGAAAGCCTGAGATAGCTACAGACGAGCTTAATTCTTTGTAAACTTCATCAGTGTATCATCTCCTGAACGTCTGCACAGCAATCAGCGCCCATTCAGAGCAGCTGCAGCACGGTGGCTTGCAGCAAGGCAGCAGTGTGCAGAGCAGAGAGCAGCAGTGACACGTGACGGTGCTACTGACACACAGCACAGTCATGGCACATATGCCTATTTCTCAAAAACCGACTTCGTGCTGGCCTTGGTTAAGGTGTAGCATCATTGCTATGCCCCTTGGCTGCCCCTTGCTCCCAGCAGTGCTGCTGTGTGTAGGAGGCTCCGCAGTGCTGATATCACTGGTGTTCAGGTGGGTGAGTGAACATAACCCTCAGCCTCTGCGTTTCTGCTGTTTTGAGGCTGAAATCATCATAGAATCATTTAGGTGAGAAAAGACTGTTACAATTTTCAAGTCCATCCAACAGCCTAACACTACCAAGCCCACCTTGGAAGCCTATGTGGTACTGCTGGTGAATGAGCACCGTGCTACAAATGCTCCAAAGAGTTTCATTCCTTCAGATGACAAAGACAAGAGCAATCTCTGCTCATCCTGGCCCAGCTCTGCCCCTCTCCATCACCTCTGTCTTGCCATGCCCATGCAGCCCCATGGAGCCACATCACAGATTCTACTCACCAGTAGTGGAACCCCAAGGACCTCCCATGGGTGCTGACTACATCCTGGCAAATTAGGGTGATTAGGGTTTTGTTAAGGTCTCTGGCCTTGTTAAATGCAGTCCTGTTCCTTGTTTTTCTAGTCTCTGTTTTCAGTTAATCACTCATATGTCAAAAAGCAGCTCTGCAATAGCCCAAGCTAATAATAAATTTGACCAGAAGTTGCTAAATAAATTTAAGCAAAAAAATAGGGAAATTAGGAAAATTAGGAAAGGTCTCCAGCTCTGTAAAGCCAGGCTGGATGGGCTTTGGATAGCCTGGGCTGGTGGGAGGAGGCCCTTGTTGGGACTGGATGGGCATTAGGGACCCTTCCAACCCAAACCACTCTGGAGTCCTACCGCTAAAGAACATGAGGTCTTCATTCTCATGAATGTCTGCTGTCCTCTGAAGTTGTTTCATATAAAGCACCAAGGTGGTACTTATACTGAATGAGATCAGAATGACTCTACAGCTTGCTGTTGCTCCCTTCCACAAACAAGCACCTCACCAAGCCCTCACCATGGCTCTCCTACTGCTACAAAACCCAGTCACATTACTGGCTCTCATTTTTTGCAGTAATTTTGTTCACTTGCATTTGGCTGCTAATCCACCGTAATTCCCCAGATACTTCTCAACAATAGGCCCGTCTTGTCAGCCATTCTCTTCTTATTCATGCATCTTATTTCATTTTCTGTCGCTTGAAGCTGTCTTTATCCATTTCACTCCACTGATTTACAGGGCCGTGCTGAATTAGAAGCTTGCCCTCTGAAGAATTTCCATAGTGTCAGTGGGAAATTTACGTACACGCGCTCCCTACTTCATCATGCGAGCTGTCAAGAAATACACCGAGTAATGCCCAACACGGCACAGACCCCGTGGGATCCTTCCCGACACGTGCTCCCCCTTCAGTAGGAAAATATTGATATTTTCTTTTTCTGACTGATTTTCCAACTGGTGTTGCACCCACTTAACAGTAGCTTCAACCAGTCCGCATTTACCTAGTTTATTTATGAAAATACCATATGGGATAGTGTCAAAAGCTTTATGAGTCAATGCATTTCAAATTAATGCTTCCCCCTCCTTCCTGAGGCCACCCACCCACCCAGAGCCATCCAATTTCCATTCTCTGACATGATTTGTTCCCAATATAGATGTGCCAACTATTTTTATTCCCCGGCTACATGAGTACGAGATGATTGTTTTATAATGTATTCAGAAACCCAAAGGTATTCCTTCTACCTTCAGCCAGGCATTTCAACACAAATACTTATTTACTTTATACAGCCCGAGTGCAAAGAAGCAGTAATGCCATCTCTTGGCACCACAAAGCCACCACTCCCCTTCTTTCACATTTTAATCATTAAAAAAATGGAATTGGATTAGCTCGTGTCGGCACAGCAGCCTCACTGCGAGCCCCTTTAAGGCCTGGTGTCAATTTTCCTTTAAGAATTAACTTTCTGTTGATCCTACCCTTTGATTCACACCTACTGGATGTAGGTTTCTACCATATCTACCTCTTTCATGACAACTTTCTGGTATCTCCCAGAACTACATCCATCTGAGTTCAGATGGCAGTCAGACACCACCGAGGGCACTTCTTGCTCTATTTTTGTAAAAAAAATAATATAAATCCGGTAATAGAAACTCAAAGTTATGCTATAAGCATAGAATCAATAAGGTTGGAAAAGACTTCTGAGATCCCCAACCCCAACTCATCCCCACCATGCCCACTGACCACGTCCCTCAGTGCCACATCTCCACAGCTCCTTCCAGGGATGGTGATCCCACCACCTCCCTGGGCAGCCTAGTTTGCTGGCTTT